GCGAAATTGAAAGGATGAAAGCCGAAAAAGATAAAAAAGAATCGGATGCTATAAGAGAATGTCAGAAAGAAAATGAATTATTAAAAGACCAAGAGAAAAAATTCGGAGTGGAAAAGGAGGAGTGAAGAAAACAAAAAGAAGATTTTCAGACCCATATTCTTAGTTTAGAGGAAAAAGTCAAAGATTGAGAGAAAAAATATAAAGATTTAAACAAAAATTCCGAGGAGCGAACAAAAAACTCGGTCGAACAATATGGAAAAGTAAGAGCCTTACAATCAGAAGTAAAAATTGAGAAAGCAGAAAACAAAAAACTAAGGGAGCAAAACGCATTACTAAATGAATATATTGGTGAACTGGGAGCCGAAGTGGCGATGGATAGGAAAGAATATTTAGAATTAGACTACATAGGCGACGATGGAACGGAATGAACCGAAAAAATTACCAAGGAAGATTATTTGAACCTTCAATCGCGACTCGTCAGTGCGGAAAATATTTTATCCAAAGCCGACAAAGAGCAAAGAACGAGAAGTAATTCTCTTGATTTAGCCTATTCTCCGATTAGTCCGGTGATAAAAGGAGGTAGAAGTTTAGGGGATGAATTAGGTTCCTATTTTTCAAAGAAATTCCCAAGCAGGTCTGACAGCCAAACGGGAAAAATCCAAAGCCGAAAAAGCACTGCTAGTTTTACCAAAAAAAGTCCGAAGTGAAGCGAAAGTTCGAATGATTATTCGTCAAAATCTACTACCGAAAGCGAAATTGATCCCACTTTGATTTCTCCTGTCATTTATTCCAAGAAATACGATGATTTAAAAAAGTTTAATGATGACTTGTTGTTTGAATTAGGTAAAATAAAAGAAGAGTTAAAAAGGAAGGAAAAAGAGTGAGAAAATAAAGAATTAGCGTTTGAAAGAAGAATAAATGACTTACATAACGAAAAAGACCATTTAGTAGCCGGTGAAGAAAGTCACGATTTACTTCCTTTGCTCCGTTCTGTCTTAATTAATTGGGCGACTCATATCAATAGTCTTTTGTCCGAACTACCAGAAGATGGTTCTTTGCTGGAATGAATTGAGGAATTGGAAACCCAAATAGTAGCCAAAAAGGCGGTCGAATTGGAGTCCGAATGTAATATTGAAGAACACCGAGAGTTAGTCAGTGAAAACGCAAGATTGTGGGAGGAAATTAGGACACGAGGTATAAATTCCGGTTCTACCACTCCGAATAATGAAACCGAAACTTCAACCGACCGAGGAGAAAAATTGCCCTCGCCTGAGCCAAAGTTAAAATCACATTCAGAAAAGCAGCGGACAATTTTAACTGATTTAATCACTGCTTTTACCCAAGCCCAAACGGATTGAAAAGCCGCTCGGGAGGAAATCGGCCAAGCCTTAAACGAATTTGAACTTCCAAAGGATTTAGAACTTTTAATAAAATCGACTGAAATCGATTCGGACGAGGAATTAAGCGATAGCGAAGATGAGGAATGACTTCTTTCAAATTTGTCTGAAGAGGCACGCGAAATAATAAAAAACACACCAAAAATCACCAAAACCCTTACTATTGATAGCGAAAAAGTTACCGCAGAAGCGGTGGTTGGTTCTGCCCCTCCTTCCCCACACGGAATTTCTGTAAAAGGTGTGGTTTCAAGTATTAACCGAATTTTAATCAAGGCGGACCGAATTTGCGAAAGTAATGCGACTGATATCGAAATTGAGGATGATTTTGCTGTTCAAAAAGAAAATATTGATGATGAATATAAAGATGTTGAGGAACAAATTAAGGAAAAAACAGAAAAAAAAGCTGAACTGGAAAAGAAAGTTGATGAGTGAGTAAGTAAAATTGAAACTCGAAAAAAATCGGTGGAAAAAACTTGTGAAGAGTTGGAAGAAACAAATCCTGAAAATGAAAGTATAAGAAACGAATTAGAGAAATTAAAAACTCATAGCCTGGGTGTAATCGATAACCTAAACCACGAGATAGAAAAATTGCTCCGAAAAAAAGAACGGACCGAATTAAGTCTAACCAAATTAAAACTAAGAGCC